TGGCCCAGAACCATGGCTCCTAGTGGAGGTGTTGTTGGCTTGGGGTCTGTCTTATTTCCATGTGCTTCTGTAATAGACTCCTGGTATGGCTCTGTAGGATCAGCACTGGACTGAGAAACACAAGGTCAGCAGTTCAAACCCACCAGCTGCTACTTGGAAACCCTATACAGGATAGCTATGAGTGGGAACCTACTTCACAGAACTTAACAACAAGAAGAAACTGTAATAGAAATGCCACAAGTGGGTGGCTTTAAGGAATGGAAATTGTTTTCTTATAGTTCTAGAGGCTCCAAGTCCAAATCAAAGTCTTGGCTTCGTTGGTCTCCTCGTTAGTAGCCCAGGTGCCCCTTGGTTTCTTGGCTATCCTCACATGGCACCTGTCTTTCCCTGTGTGCATATCTCTGTGTCTATAACTGATGGGAATACCTCAAAGGGGTTCTAAAACTTGCCCAGTGAAATAGGCTTCTTGTGGAGCCTTTGCAGTGTATAGGACCTTAGGTGGAATCCTGAGCCCCAGCCAGAACTTTCTGAGGTGGGACATTCCCACTTGAAAGGGAATGCAGACCAGCCCAGAGCAGCTAGAGGAACAGAAGATACTTCTTGAAAGAAATACCAGCAGGAAAAAACAAAAATGGCAGTCTGTTTGGCTATTACAAGAACAAGCAAGCTGTCTGCAGGAGACCATTAAGACAAGTAATCAAGTCCCCTCAGGACAAGCCCCCCTTCAAGACTGAAACTCAAAGGGAACACACGAGCAAGCATGTAAGCTTGCTGCCGACCGTGTTGGTCTATTTGTGAGTGGAAGTGGGGGAAAAGTAACAATAAAGATATGGGCTGCGTTCGATCATGTTCTATAGATGTCGACCTTGAGATGAAAGAGAGAAGAGGAAGGGTTGGTTGATCTGAAGTTTGGGGAGACTTGGGAACTTCTGAGCCCATGGACAAGGACATAGCCATGGAGGGCTGGAGCTGAGAGTGAAGTGTCCAACTGGTATGAAGTGGGGGAAGATGCATAAGAATGTCCATACTTGCAGATAAGTATCCATTTGACCTAGCTTCAATGGTTTGATGATCAGAACTCGACTAGAGGGAAATAAAGAAATTTGATAAAGGAAACAAGTGTAGATTGCTACAATTTGATGATCTTGACCTGTATTTATGGATGTAGTCTCTCAAAATATCAATTGAGAGGAAAGGACTCTTCACATCAAGGATCAAACCTATCCCCTCTGTAAACAGGGTTGATAGGGATGGGCAACTTAGACACTGGCTACCTAAAACACAGGAAGCTATAAAGGCATGAAGTGACTGGCTTACAAGTTTTCAAGAGGGAGTTTAGTTTCAGAGTGTGCAGGGGAAGGTAGAACCCCACTGAATAGTTTTCATCTTGTCTAGACGGGTCTGGTGAAAGGAGATGGGGATAGGATTCATTTGATTCAATTAAGTAATTGTTATCATGACTAATTGCGATAGTCACAACTGTAATGGTAGAAGTTTTGTAACAAAAGGGGGGTAGGAGTTAATCTTACATTCCAGGAACAGAGGCCCTCTAGGACCATGAAGAGAGAAGAGCATGAGCTAAATGTGGGACCCTATTCAGAGAAGCAATACATCAGAGATGGAGGCAAAGATGAGGACATGGAGAGATTGAACCACTGAGAACTCTAGACTCATGGAAAGAGAAAGGCTGTGTGCTGTCGGCTTGCAGAATGTGTCCTTTGGTTGTTTAAACTATTATATATTCCTGCATTATATTATAAACTATTATATATTCCTGCATTATGTACATTTAAAAAAAAGATTAGATTTAGAACCCCCACTACCTGAGTCAAGTCTGGTCAAATTAACATAACAAAGGAAACCTGGTTTCCAAGCAACATTATATCTGTAGGTAGAAGAGTCAGCATTCCAACACATATTTGGCAGGGGGACGCAATTTATTAGCAGTAAATAACAGAGTGGGTTTGGTGTTTTTTGGCAGGGTGGCTGCAAATCTGACCCAGTCCTTTTAAGGCCAATTATTATTGTTACGTGTCATCGAGTCAGTTCCTACTCATAGTTAGCAGTCCAGTGCTTATCCTATAGCACCAAACCAAGACTCCTAAAGGCCAGTGTTGCTGCATGCTGTCAAATCGTTTCTGGCTCATAGCAATCCTGTACAGGGTTTCTGAGGCTGTAAATCTTTACAAGAGCAGAAAGCATCCTTTTTATCCCACGAGTAACTGGTGAATTCAAACTGCTGACCTTCCGGATAGCAGCCCAACTCGTAACCCACTGCTTTACCAGGACTCTTTCCTAAATGCCAGTTGTTGCTAAGTTTTGTCTAGTCAGTTCCGACGCATAGCAACCCTGCACAGGGTTTCCAAGGAACAGCTGGTGGCTTTAAACTGCTGACCTTGTGGCTTGCAGTCCAGGGCTGATTCTACAGGATCCACCAGGAGTCCAGTCATGGCTGTTAATTCAGTGAGCCAAGAGAGCCCCACCTTCCCCACTTTAGGCCCACTGGACTTGACCTCCCTCTAAGATTGCTTCCAAATCTGTAGTTCTCTAAGTCTATGATCATTTTGTGGCTACATTTAATGAAAATATGCAGGGGGGAAAATTGCTGAAAATTTGATAAATTATCAGAATTGTATGCACATTGTATTTAAATACAAAAGGGAATTTTTAACAACAGCAGGAAACATCTGTAGAGCAATCACTATGCTTCAAACCCTTTCCTTAGGGGTCTTTAGAGGGGATCTGATGATATAGTTATTTCAGATCACCTGTACCCCCTAATTCACCACCTTAGTTTCTGAGCTCTGAGCTGACCAGTGTTTTACTTCATCATTGGCTGAGTTATACAGTGTTCAGATCTGAAAGCGTCCCTACAGAGAACGTACAGTATGATGAGACTTAAGACAACTCTGCCCAGACACCCTCCTTTGTGCTGAATACAGGGATCTTTCTTTGTGAATCCACGGACTTCATGAGTCAGTTCCAACTTATAGCCACCCTGTATAGAGTTTCCAAGGCTGTAAATCTTTATGGGATCAGAAAGTCTCATCTTTCTCCTTTGGAGTAATTGGTAGATTCGAACTGCTGACCTTGCAGTTAGCAACCCAACACATAGCCTACTACATCACCAGGACTCCTCTGACACTCTCATGTTGTTGTTAAGTGCTGTCGAGTAGGTTCTGACACATAGTGACCTATATAGGGTTTCTGAGAAGTAGCTGGTGGGCTTGAACCACCGACCTTGCAGTTCAAACTGCTTTGCAGTCTGGTGCATTAACCCACAGTGCCACACCAGTACTCCATAGAATCCATGATTTTGCATTTATCTCAGAGGTCTAAATTTACATTGTTGTTGTTAAGTGCCTTCAAGTCAGTTCCAACTCGTAGCGACCCTGTATAGGGTTTCCAAGGACTGACTGGTGGGTTTGAACAGCTGACTTTGCAGTTAGCAGTCAAGTGCTTATCCTACAGCGTCACATCAGGAGTTCTCCCCATTTGGGTCCTATTTCTATAATTTGAGTCAACCGCCATGCCATTAGGCTATGATTGGATCCATTGCTTTAAAGAACTGTGTGGAGCCCTGGAACTCTGTTCCTTAGTGCACTGGCCAGAGTCCCTTTTTTCATGGTAGCAATATAATTCCCCTGTCATTTGGTTGGCATGTGTGTTTATGCCACCTCTTTGTAAAAGGAGAGATACAAATGTAATTAAATCTCAGTCCGTGGCACATTCTTAAAGACATTTTGCAAAAAGAAGAAAGAAAAGGGACCCATGTGGACAAACAAGACAGTTGATCCTTTCTTTTCTGCCTACAACTAGTTATGTGTTACTCTCGCCCTTCCTAGATCACACAGATGTGTGTGTGTGTGTGTGGAGAACACGATGGATGAATTTCACACAGGTCAGAGCTGGTAATCCCCCCTTTGCCAGCAGCAGGCATTCACATGAAGGTGCTCTGCTTGCAGGCTTATCAAATCAATCCCTCTTCTCTCTTCCTGCAGGAGAGTGCTGCACACAGCGGGAGGGTGGCTGGGCAGTGCCAAACCTGGAATCCCCTGAGCAAGCAGTGTTTCAGCTGGCGGGATAGATCAAATAACACTTGGGCCAGTTAACAAAAGACATGCTAGTGGGAAGGTGTTGGAAGCCAGAGTGTGGAAATTTACCCAATGTTATGTCTTTGACAGGGAAGGAGACTCGGTCTGAAAGATGCTGTGCTCCTCTGGCCTCTCTGGGTCCAGTGGAACCCGGCCTCACTCCAGGTGGCACAGATGAAAGAGTGGAAGGGGATGTTACCTGTGTCTGATCCCTCTGGAGGATCCTGGTCTGGCCGCTGAGCTCCACTTGGACTAGGACTTCAGGTATGACTTGGTATAGAGCTCATGAACGTGACTGAGTTCCTGCAGATTTCATCCAGGCTTACCAGACTGGCTTAGCTTTCAGAATCTAAGGCAACCTGGTAGATAGGAGAGCTGGCAAGGGTAAAAAGAAGAACCTAGAAGCCTCCTGAATCCATGGACAGGGTCCCTTTGTGCTGCCTGGGATAGAAAGAGAGACTGCTGGGTAGCTGCAGGCTGTGACCATCTTAAGGAAAACGAATACGGAACAGCAAACACAGCTGCATTTCAGTCAGAAGGATTGAAAGGGGAGAGTTTCTGCATCTTTTATTTTGAGCTCCATCGCCATCACCCGTTCACCTAGATTATGATATTTATTTTTCTTCTGAAGGTGCTCTAGTTGAAAGCAGTATGAGCCATTCCAGGCTTCAGGCAGGAGCATTCACCACGTAGGAGGTGGTGGGCAGCCCTTCCCGTGCAGTTAAGGAAACACTCTGAGCCTCCAAGTTGTGCAGCTCAGCGAGCATAGACAGATGCCTTTCTTGTAGCATTCCTCCACATTGGAACTTGACAGAATGAGGTGTGCTGGGCAAGCCACCAGCTGGGACCTGGCCTTTCCTGACTGCTCCCTCCCCATGTGGGCAGCCCTAGACCACTGAGCTGACAATGGCCGAGAAGGGCAACTGTATTGCTAGTGTCTACGGGTATGACCTTGGCGGGCGCTTCGTCGACTTCCAACCCCTGGGCTTCGGCGTCAATGGGCTGGTGCTGTCGGCTGTGGACAGCAGATCCTGCCGGAAGGTGGCCGTAAAAAAGATAACCCTGAGCGATGCCCGCAGCATGAAACATGCGCTCCGGGAAATCAAGATCATCAGGCGTCTGGACCACGACAACATCGTGAAGGTGCATGAGGTGCTAGGCCCCAAGGGCACCGACCTGCAGGGTGAGCTGTTCAACTTCAGCGTGGCCTACATTGTCCAGGAGTACATGGAGACAGACCTGGCACGCCTGCTGGAGCAGGGCACACTGACTGAGGAGCACGCAAAACTCTTCATGTACCAGCTGCTACGCGGCCTCAAGTATATCCACTCGGCCAATGTGCTGCACAGGGACCTGAAGCCTGCCAACATCTTCATCAGCACTGAGGACCTCGTGCTCAAGATCGGGGATTTTGGCTTGGCAAGGATTGTCGACCAGCATTATTCCCACAAGGTAGGTGGAACGTCCACAGTGTATTCCTCACTCCGTGGGAATCAGACCATTGGATCAGTATTTGGGAAAGGCTGGAGGGTCGTAGAAGGATTATGGGCCTGAAAATTGTTGTTGGGGGAAATCTGGTCTTAGTCTTGGCTTGTTACATGCCAGGATCAGTAGCCCTGGGCTGTTCAAGAAAGGGGTTGGACTAGATGACCTCTAAAATTTCTTCCAACTTTAAGCGCCGTGGCTTTCAAGTGGAGTGATTGGTACATTTGCTTCTAGCACCTTCTTAGCTCTTTTGAAACTGGTAGCTCATCTTGTAACCATCTCTGCTATCAGATCTCCCCTGTGAACCTCACCCATACTATCCATTCTCTTAGTTAGTGGACAGTGGGCACAATGATTAACCCGATAAACGAGTTCTCACTATTCATTTTCCAGCTAATGGCTCAGTTGTCTCGGGTCCCACGATGCCCTAATCCCTCAGTGTTTCACTTAAAGCTACAGGTGTCAGGATGGAACTACCGAGACCTCACCTGGGTGGCTAACGGCTCCACCAGCCACAGACCTCAGTGCTGACCAGAGCACGCTGGTCCCCAGACCCCATCCTCTTTTCACCTGATCTCCTGCCGCCTTCAACCCTCCCAAGTCCATGAACTTTAGGAGAGCCACTGAGCTGACTCCTCTCAACAGGGCTGGTGGTTATGTGATTTCCAGCCTCCTGCCAAGACCTTTGGATCATGACTTATTTTTTACTAAAATGAAAAAAAAAATCCCTAAGGAATAGGCACACTGTAAACTGTTACCAGTCAAGGGGCTGGGGCTGGGGCAGGTCATGAAAGCAGAGAGTAGTTCTGACCTTGAACGTTCTCCAGTTTTCCCTCCAGTGCCCTCTCCTCTCCTGTCCCTTACCATTGTATTTTCTGGTGGCTGGAAGGTCACTGGTACATAGAAAGACTTCTAGGTGAGACAGAGGCAGGGATCCCTGGCCTGGAACTTGGACTCCCCACATCAGCCTAGCCGATGTAGTTTCTTATACCACAAATTACCAACCCTCTTTAACCATGAACTTGCCCTCTGCCCCTCCTCCCACAGCCAAGCCATCTGTTAAAGTTGATGGCTGACTCTTAGCAGGAATGAATGTCCATGGTGAAAAACAATGCTGTCTGTGCCTCTCTGGGGCCTTGTACAGTTTCTTTTTACTTTCTTTCCCTTCCAAGGAGCAGTGATCAAAGGTCTTAAATCCAGATTGGTTCTTACTTGGTAGTGGGACTAAGAATCCACGACAATCTTGTCCTGGGATACACAAACCCCCTTTCTGAGTCGGGATGACATAAACCAGTACATCTGGAAATAATGATAGAACCTCCGCCGTGGGTTGACGTCAGCGATGTGACTTATGACAAGGAAAGTGCTTAGAGAAGCATGTAGTAGCCTCTGGTCACAGCAGCAAAGATGATTTGTTGGGGCAAAGACTGGTTGTGGTAATAAAACTTGGGAGGTGGCTCCGTGTTTGAGGAATCTGGGATCTGGGTTCCCTTGGATGGTGTTAACTTGGGACGTAGCCAGATGCTCACCTCAATTTCCTCATCTTTCACAGTGACAGTAACACCTGCCTCGTCTGCCACACTGGCTCCTGTTGTTGTTAAGCACCAGCAAGTCGGTTCCAACTTGACCCTGGTGCAGCTGGTGGGGTTGAATTGGTGACCTTGTGGTTCAAAATCCTACAGCGCCACACCGAGTCCCCTGGCTCCGGGTTAGAGTTAAAATGAACTGTAAGTGTACTGTGGAAGGCAGCAAGTACTGTATCCATTCACTTAGAGAATATTTGTTGAGCACACTCGTAGCCAGTGCTGAGAGCCGTGGGGGAACACCGTGCGGCCGTGCTCATTTACAGTCAGAGATGATGCTGGTGGACTCTCATAGGGGTATCTTCAATAACACTGGCCTTGGAGCCCGTTAGGTGATCTGGTGCCCCTGTGCTTCTGTGCCTAGAGATTCCACAGGCCCCCTTCCTACTCCCCACTCATAGACCTTGTGCTTTTAACATCTCCGTGTGATGATGATTTATCCTAAGTGTATCACATTGTAAGGCACTCAGGATAAATGGTCTATTTTAAAGCTGAGAAGAAGGGCTCTCTTGAGCCCACATGACTGACTGTGGTCATGGGAGGCACTAGAACTCGGCTTATCTCATATCCTGATGGAGGGTCTCCTGTGCTTTCTCTCTTCAGGAAGTTTCTCAGGTTCACCTGCTTGGAACTCATCTTCCCTGGCCCTCAATCCCCATGTCACCTTCCCCTCACCCCCATCCCGTTACCATATGTCCTGACACTGCTGAGTGTCTGCTTGGTTTCCTGTGCTTTGTCTCATGGACTCTCGAGGCTTGAGCACAGTTCCTAACTCACCATGTTCTCCTGTAAAGTCTCATCCCTGTCCCTAAGGGATGGCCCTCAGAGGCATCCTGGGGTGGTACAAATGATTAAGCACTGGACGACATGCTAAAAGGTTGGTGACTTGAACCCACCCGAGATGCCTTGGAAGACAGGCTGAGCAATCTGTGTGCAAAAGATCACAGCCTAGAAAGCCGTATGGAGCACATGGGGTGGCCAGGCCTCGGAATCGACTCCACAGCAGTTGGCTTGGTCTCTAACAAAAACACTGAGCTGCACTGGGGCCTCGAGTGACATTTTGGGTGCATCTTGAGTCCCCTGAGGCCCATACCAATGGGCAGTGGCAGTGGAGGACCATTCTAATGATTCTGTCTCAGCAGGGGCAGCATTGGAAACGCTGGTCTGTAAGTCATGAGGCCTCACCTCACTAATGGTTATTGTGTTGTTAAGTGCCATCGAGTCAGTTCCAACTTAAAACGACCTGTATAAGGTTTCCAAGGAGCGGCTGGTGAGTTTGAACTGCCCACCTTGCAATTCAAACTGACCTTGAGGTAAAGTGATTATCCTACAGTGCCACACCAGGATTCTACCACACTAATTACATGACCTAAAAAAAAAATTAATAACCTCATCATCATCATGGGAATTCCAGCTCTTGATAACCTATCCAGGTTTATTGGCTATAATTTTTACAGAAGCAGCTCGCCCGGCGTTTCTTCTGTGATACCACTAAATTAGTTCACACTGCCAAGTTTTAGGTTAGTACATATTAACCTTCAGGCAACAGCTATTGCTTGGGTAGTTTATTCCTAAAAAAAAAAAAAATTTTTTTTTGTATAAGGGCCTCACCATCTTCTTCATCCTCTTCATTTTCTATATGATAAACCTGGGGCCTCCAAATGGAGTAGATAAGCCAAGAGTACAGCACATACATTTTGACTCCATGCCCACTATTTTTTTCCTGAGCCTCAATTGTTCCATCTGCCAAATGGGGTAATCAGTCCCATTCTGCTCATCCATAGTGTCACAGTACTCAGAGATGGACCAAGGGCTAAATCAGTAACAGAGCCCATTGCAAAGGTCACCCCAGGCAGACACTCAGACTTCACTTTCCTCTCTGCTGACATGAAGGCCACTGAGTGAGCCAGCAAACCCCATCTGCAGGGTGACCTGGCTGCCAGCCCCCGCCCCCAGGGCAGCTCAGCCTGTGTCCTGTTCTGAATCCTGCCCACGTACCACCTCACCAGGTCCACTACTGAGTCCCTTGCTGACTGTGTCTGAGGAGTGCAGTCTGTTTTCTCTTGAACTGATCCTATTAGGAAGAAGAAAAAGATCTCAGAAGAGGAAAGTATGACATTTATGTCTTCTTTGAGCCCTGTGTAAATTCTAGGAAACGTCAGGAGCCCCAGGGAAGAGTGCAGAGGCCTGAAGGGCAGCTAGACAGACTGATTAGCTGGGAGCACACCTCCCTCCAAGAAGGGGCTGCCTGAACGGGGGAAGGACCACCTTCTATCTTGCTGATGTCTCTTTGAGGCTGCCGGCTTTCCTGGGACACATCCACTACCATCAAGTGATCCTACTCACAGGGACGCTATATAAGGTTTCTGAGGCTGTAAATCTTTATAGAAGAGGGAAGCCTATCATTCTCCATTGGTGGGTTTGAACTACCAACCTTGCAGTTAATAGTCCCATGCTTATCCTACAGCACCGAGGGGACAAAGGAAGAGGATAGACATATTGGGATTTGGGCAATGAGAGGCTCTTGTGTTTGTTGTTGTTGTTGTTAGGTGCCATCGAGTTGGTACCAACCCATAGAGACCTTATGCACAGCAGAACGAAACACTGCCCAATCCTAGGCCAACCTCACTACTGTTGCCACACTTGAGTCCATTGATGCTGACACTTGGCCAATCCATCGCGTTGGGGGTCTTCCTCTTTTTCTCTGACCCTCCACCTTACCAAACATGAGATCATTCTCCAGCGACTGGTGCCTCCTGACAATATGTCCAAAGTATGAGAGACGAATTTTGGCCATCTTGGCCTCCAATGAGCACTCTGGCTGTACTTCTTCCAAAACGGATCTATTGGTTCTTTTGGAAGCCCATGGCACCTTCAATACTCTCCTCTAACACCATAATTCAAAAGCATCAATTCTTCTATGGTCTTCCTTATTCACTGTCCAGCTTTTGCATGCATATGAGGTTATTGAAAATACCATGGCTTGGGTCAGGCACACC